AGCTCTTTATTGAGACACGTGTCTCTTTTGGATGATGGAAAAAGAGTCCAAGAGTTGTTTCTTAATTTGTTTTGCAGCAATTTTAGAGTAAAACCTATTAGCTGAAGCTTTGTTCTTATGTAAATAAAAAGAGACAGCTAATGGTGCAAAGACAGATCTGAAGCGTGTTTACAGGAATGAAACAGTGTGTGTTAAATTCAACATGGATGTTATGCTGCTATTTTCCAACACTGGGCTTCATTGTATTAATCCATATAAAAATAAGACGGGTTATTTTTAAAAATGGTCAAACCTTAAAACTCATTTGTTACAAAAATATAAATAGGCAGAAAAGTCAGTGCTGTTGTATGTGGTTGGTCTACAGGAAGGTTTAAAGGCATACTTTGCAACTTTTTCATATTTTAAAAACATTTTCTTGAGCCAGTATGTGCTAAAATGAGCCTTTACAGGGTTAATAAAAGGCCACCCAACCCCCATCGCCCTCTGTGGACAGAATATTCAACTTACAACTTCAGATCGGCGGGTCGCTCTGTTGGGACTTGGAAACAAATGGAGCTGACATACCTGGTGCTGCAGACTGGTTCCAGTTCATTTCCTGCCTATTTTAGGTCATGAACATAGCTGATTTGTTTAATTTAATGATGAACCACTCCTGTTAACACTAACAAAGTCTGGGGAGACCTTTCAACAGTTCGATCAAGGTGTTAAAAAGATGAACGCACAGCAAAGAGGTATATATTGCTTTTGGTTCTTCACACGGACACTAGGGGGTGCTAAAAGCAAATCAAAACTGCTTAGTCTCACTTTAACCGGGTGTCATCAAAATGATAAATCATAATTTAGAAAACTTAGTCTGTTTGGACAAAGTTAAAGGACAAATTTTTGTCAGAATGTTTTCATTTCATAGACCTGAGATGGAACTTGATCTATTTATCTAGATAGCCTTAGTTAGTTTTCTCAAATAAACACATTTTAGCTAAAACATTTCTATTGATTCTCTCATCTTGGAAGAGCACATGCAATTATGTGCCACAAGTCTATAAAACCATCACGCCCATGCCCCTGCTAACCTACAGGTCACTTGACCCTCCCTTGTAGTTTCCAGCTTTATGACTGACAGCAACTCGTTTCACCTTGTTTTTAAATGTACCTCAAACCCTCAATTTTCTCCTTCAAAGAAACCCAACACACTTGCAGAAAGCTCCTGAAGACGGCACGTTCTTTTCTCTGTGACCAGCTGAGAGAGCAAATTAAAAGGATGGAGTCTAATCCAGTCAGTCAAAGACTTTTCTTTTAGCTCATTGTTTCACTCAGGGCTGCTCTTTTTTTCTCTCCGCCGTGAGTTTGTGTTTTGGAATGCTGCCTGTATGATTTTAAAGGTCACTCTGAAGCTCTGTATTTATTGTGTGGTCTTGCTCTCTCATAAAACTTGCAGCAGTGCTCATGGAGGAAAATAACTGTACTGCATTTGTGTGTGTGACTTTGAAGTGCACACACCTGTTGTAAACCATCGTGGGAGCCATGATTCATGCGTCGTGTAGCGTGACAGAATTGCTCCAGGTCTGTTTACAGTGCAAACACATAGAATCAAGGGTCATTGCTATGTTACACACCTGAACCAACGTGTGTGTGTGTGTGTGTGTGTGTGTGTGTGTGTGTGTGTGTGTGTGTGTGTGTGTGTGTGTGTGTGTGTGTGTGTGTGTAGTTATTTCCTGATGGCGCAAACACGGAAGCTCTTACATTTCAAAGCCATAAAACCAAGAAAAAAAACTATTTCTACAGAATATTGGGAAACATGGCATGTAAATTATTGAGGTATTTAGAAAATTTTTATTTTGTCTTTAGCTAAGTTTGTTGCTGATGATCCATCTAAAAGACTTTCAGTCACACCTTGTTTTCTTTTAAATTCAATTCAACAACTTTGATTATTCCACACAAAATGATCTGACAAAGCTGTCCATGCCCAGTTTGTTCTGAAGGATTTCTGTTGACAGGTTATGAATAATTATAGCTTAACTTTTGGCTCCTTTTGCAGCCTCAGTTTGGAGAAACAGAGGCCATGTCTGAGATGTGAAGCGAGTTAAAAGTGAAGTTCTGTTCAAATTTTTTTTTTATTTCATATATCCCTTTATGTGAAGGCTTGTTTAATTCTATTTTAAACCTTAATTTTACCATTTTATTCAGATTTCATAACTATTCTGAATGAAAAGATGACATTCTGACAGGAAGTAACTACCGTAATTTCCAGACTATAGAGCGCTCCTCAATATAAGCCGCACGGGGCTAAAAGCCGCAGATATCTACTGAATTTAAAACGTAGTTTAACTGAACGTAACTGAACTGACCAGTATCAAACAAAACAGAAAAGTTATTGATTAGTTTATTCATCGTCCTCCTGCGCACTGAAACCACTGAAGTCATCTTCAGTGTCGGAGTTGAACAGCCTCAGAAGAGCTTCGTCACATACCTTTTCTGTGGCGATGTCAGTGTTGCTGTCATCATCCCGGGGTGAAGCTGGGAAAATGGGCAGCGCCGTTTTACTGTGAAAATAATCCTCCTGGGCGCTTTCCGTAGCTCTCCTTTAACCATTCCTTCATTAGACTTTCCAGCATCCATCCATTCTGGTTGACTAAAGCCGCACCTCATTATAAACCGCATGGTTCAAAGTGTGGGAAAAAGTAGTGGCTTACAGTCCAGAAAATACAGTATATGTAGGTGTGTGTGTGTGTGTGTGTGTGTGTGTGTGTGTGTGTGTGTGTGTGTGTGTGTGTGTGTGTGTGTGTGTGTGTGTGTGTGTGTGTGTGTGTGTGTGTGTGTGTGTGTGTGTGTGTGTGTGTGTGAGACAGGGTAAAGGTTTATATTTTTATTTTGAATTGTTCACTAGAATGTTTTTTTAATAGTTTCTTATTTTTAATGACAGCAAAAAGTCGTCTGGTGATTGAAACCAGCCAATATTAAGCATGAATGATCAACGATCAATGAGAAACTCAGTTTATGCATTGTCTCGTAGCAATGATAGATCTGGATTATTCCCAATTATTGATCGCTTTCACCAAACAGTGATGTTTGTATAAATCAGAGCTGTGTGAGACCAACAACCAGATGGTCCAATAGTCTGAAACGTGTCATTTGCTGAGGTTTTTGGACAAATGCAAGACAACCACTTTAGTAAATGTTTTTTGCCACAGAATTTTTATTGCTATTCTATGTTAGTTTGTTGTTGAGAGGAATGAAAAAAGCTTTTAAATGTGACATAGCAGTGTTACCCCACTTCATTTCTCACATTTTCTTGCTGTTTAAATCACACTTTTTCATGCATTTTGATCCAAAATTGTTGAATAATTTGAAAATAATGAAATTGTGTCTTTGGTCCGTGCCTCTAGCCAGACAATTAGCTTTCTTAAGATGATTATTACGTTTTCTAATCCTATTTCCTGTTACTGACACTAGAAGACTTGTTTACTTGAGACTCAGTCCGTTAAATGGAATCTGTGAGTTGGCGGTGGAAAATAACAAAAGCCAGCAGAGAATTAGACGAGCAGTTGCACGTGTTTCACATCTCAGAATCAGAATCAGAATCAGAAGTTTTTATTGCCATATGTGTGCCAAGTCACAACATTAGGAAATTGCTGCGGTATTTTGGTGCAGAAGGTAAGATAGAAAAAAAATTAATTAAGAGATAAGCAAATATAAGAACTAATAAAACACTCATGATAAAACTATTAATGTAAAAAGTGGCAAGAATTTGAGAAGCAGCTATCTACTCCGTGTAGGTATTTATCTGAGTGTTTGTTGAATGGTTCAAGCACAGCATCGAGTCACCTGACTGGGACCAATCAACTTGAGTGGGCTGCCCTAGGATTTTCATTCAAAAGTCCAACTGCAGAGGGGAAGAAACTGTTTTTGTGGCGAGAGGTTCTGGTCCGAATGGATCTGAGCCTTCTGCCAGATGGGAGCGAGTCGAAGAGACTGTGTCCAGGGTGAGACGAGTCAGCTACAGACCTGCACGCCTCAATGTCCTGGAGGTGTACAGATCTTGAATGGAGGGGTGTTTGCAGCCAATGACCTTCTCTGCAGAGCGCACGACACGCTGCAGCCTCTTCTTGTCCCTGGTGGTAGCTCCAGCGTACCACACGGTGAGGGAGGAGGTGAGGATGGACTCGATGATAGCGGTGTAGAACTGCCTCATCGACTGTGGTGATAGGTTGAATTTCTTCAACTGCCTCAGGAAGCACATCCTCTGCTGGGCCTTTTTTCTGATGGTGGTGATGGTGGGCTCTCATTTGAGGTCCTGGGTGATGGTGGTGCCCAGGAAGTGACATGAGTCCACCATCGTGATCTCTGCTAAGATGTTAGTTATTCTGAAGTTACACTCTTCAAACAGCTTCTGACATTCACAGACAAGCTTGTGCAACCCTTCAAATAAAGTTAGATTCCTCAGGTGTCAGTTTCATAAATTATAACTCCTCCATTAGGAGAAGAATGTGCAGCTTCATCTCAGCTGTTACTTTTGATCTCCTCAGAAATAGACACTCTTGTCTTTGGGTGAGAGTGAGGAGCTAAAAGGAGAGGAGTTAGGTAACTAATTATGAAAGAAGCTATTCAAATTATTCAGATGCTTGCTCTGCACTCCCCGTCCCCTCCTCCCCCAGGCAGTGAGGGGTCTTTTCTGTCTCCAGAGAGTGATGTCAGCAGGACCCATTGAAAACAGCCGCCGTGTGCTCTGAGATGAATGCCCAGGCTGAGCACAATGGCCCCAATTTGAATACCACGCGGATATATGCCAGATCGGAGCGGCAACAAAAGAAGGAGGGCTACTCTTCTCCCATTCAAGCATGCTGTTATTTTTGTCGTCGTAAATTTGCTGCAGCCATTTATGCCTTTTGTACTTTTTAAGTGTTGATGGAGTTCGGACCCCTCGGATGACCTCCCTGAGCTATTTTTTGAGCTGGATTTTGTTTTATTGGCTCAGAACTGAGTTTGTGTTTGTATGACTGCAGATCTACACAGACTGGGCCAACCACTACCTCGCCAAGTCAGGACACAAGCGCCTCATCAAGGACCTCCAAACGGACGTCGCGGATGGAGTGCTGCTGGCTGAGATCATACAGGTCGTTGGTGAGTTCACTTTAATTCGACTAGAAAATCAGCTTTAAAAATCCCTCAGCTGTTGGAAGGCTGTGGCTCACTTTTAAACCAACTTTTTCTGCGTTTATGTTGCACTTAAAAACTTTCTTTTTCTGATTGTGTTTCTAAACATGTAAACTACACGCCAACATATAAACCCTCAGGCAAAATTAATCACTTGTGTTCGGACAACAGAAACATTGCTGTGAAGTGTTTGTAAAAGGAGCTGTAACTGAGCTGTCTGCTCCTCCGTTTTTGACCTTTGCCCTCTGTGTGTCATCATAATCCATCTTGTCATTTCGTCTGGCCATCCTGAGCCTGTCATTGCATCTGCTGGCAGGCCGAAACAGGCCGACACCAGCTGACCGGTGACTCAGCATGTCTGTCTCCTCTCCCAGCTCTTCCCCCTCTGACCCAGATCGCATACAAACACTACCACAGTTCTCATTAGGTAGCTGCTGTGCATGGTGCTGCTTTCCATCTGGAGAACATTCGTTACAATTCAGTGCAGAGTAAAAATCACATCCAACCTTAACTTATAACCATATTATTTATTTTAAATCACACCCACTGTTTCCTCCAGCAAAATCAGACATAGTAGACTTCGGTTGAGTTCGCCCTGCTAGCTTTTAATAAAATTTTAATAAATTGAACATTTACGTTTTCTACCTTTGCTCCTACTGGTTGAAAGCAGAATTACAACAGTCATGAATAACCCTGGCACAGCCTACTGCACAGGGACCATAGGGATAGGGCGTTCTCGCTAGCTGGACCAAAATGCACTTCCCTTATCTGTTAGGCTCTGACCTACTTTTATGATCATGATTTTAACTCTGTGGGTTAGATGTTGCTGATGTTTTAAATGATCTCACTCTGTAATTTTTACTTTGTTGGTTTTGATTGTCTCTGCTGGGTTTTATCTGTTTTAATTTATCGTTGTACAGCACTTTGGTAGCATGCTTCATGCCCGTCAGATGCTTTATAAATAAAGGCTGAGTTAAGCTGAGTGCTGTAGCTAGCAATAACAACGAGCTAACGCTAACATGAACCAGCTGATACTAAAATAAACCACGAAGTAAAAAGTTCAACGCTGTTGGACAAACAATATTAATACTTTCAAATCCAGTAACAACAAAGCCAGGTCACCATCGGTCCATGGTTTTGTAGCCTCCTTTAGCTTCCTTAAATGAGTGTATTCTGCACCAATGTTCAATTTGGTGTTAGCTCTTTGCATTTCCTCCAAAGACATTACTCTTACTTTTACTTCCAGGCTCTGCCATGATGCCAACAAAAAGCATAATTCTTCATATTTTTATGGATTTTATTTATGGTGAACCAAAAAAACCTACCTGCTAGCCTTTATGTTTGCTACCAGCTCAGAAAACAGCTGTTGGTGTAAAGCAGGGAGAAACCTCCCACTAGTGTGAACCACAAAACTGTTAAGTGCAGCTTCTGATCAGCAGAGAACTCTGCACAATGCTGTCCAATGTTGCTCAAAAACCTCTGAAACCACTTTGAAAGCAATAGCTTAAAGTTTTAAAAAGTCTTTGGTGTTGCTTTAAAACAGAACTTGCGTTTCTACATGAAGACATGAAGCTACCTTTGCTTGTCATAATTATTTCCTCTGAGTAACATGTTTTAACAGCCTCTCCAACAGCATCAACATGTTGCTACTGTGACTTACATAGTGATGATTTCAAAGCAATGATTTATTAGATGTGTATTTTCTAAGATGTGTTTGCCAGCAAAACCACTGGGCCCAGAGACATTACCGCTAAAAGTATCCGCCTTCACACAAATACATTTTAAGGATGTATCATTTTTACTTGATAGAGTTCAAAGTAGAGATGTCCCCATCATGATTTTGTTGCCCCTTAAACCAGCCCTAGTTCATTTCTGCCAAAATCAAGTCTTAATTCAATACATACACTATTCTGCTTTAACTTTATTGATTTTTATTCACACATGCAGGATACAGGCCATTAAGTTATTAAAGTCGTAGGTGGAAGTTTCTGTAGAAGATCACAGTGTAAAATCTCAAGAATTACACATGACAGCATCCATAAACACAAGTTGGTGATATAGCAATATACACTTGAATAAGAAAAATGTTATTTGAAGTAGTATATATGAATTTAACGGAACCTTCCAATCAGCTCTGCTGTGTTTTGAGCTGATTTATGACTGGTGATTAGGGTTGTCATGGTGTGAAAATTTAACCTCACGGTTATTGTGACCAAAATTATCACGGTTTTTGGTATTATCGCGGTATTTTTTAAACGTGTTACATTTTCATATAACTAAATAAACCCTGTATATCAGGAAAATATTGTCCTCGGTTTGTGTCCTTCCAATGAACTTTGCAGATGTGGGAAAATGTCATCAGGCAGTAATCATTGTTAAATTCTTAATCATTCTCGGAGAGAGACCAACTCTTATTTGCTCCTGGGAGCCCCGTAATGCATAACGTCATTTCAATATGGGGGTGTCCGTGACACGGTTTATATGCAGGTAGCGGCGCTGCGGCAGCTTTATATAGCAACTCGTTGCATTCTCCCTCAACCCAAATCCTCGGATCACATATTTTAGCTAAAACGCTAATGTTAGCTTGCCTTGCGTTGACTGTAGAGTTGCGGGTGATGGTCACGCAGATGTGTCATGAGGTCTGAAGCGTTGCTGCCTTTCACAGACACTTTTTCTGTACGTGCTGCAAACAGGATCGCCGTCTTCTATCAACTGTCCCTTGGCATTCTTCAAATATCCAAAAGATGCCCGTACTTCCCACTCTGTCTTCTTTGAGGGATAATAAATGTCCTGAGCATTGCCATCTCCTCCTTTGGCCATTATTTCAACTTTAGCTTCAAGAAAGTTTTGGTTGTAAACAACAAAGTGCGCATGTGCCGCCGGTACCTTCAGCAGATGATACGGTGGCTGGTAAGGGTCACCGCGCCTACACCACAGCCACGGTAACCCACCAAGATAATATATTTTTTAAAATACAAGACAGTTATTATTATTATTATTGTCAACGTTTTTACCAGGGTTTACCGCTACACCGGTTACCGTGACAACCCTGCTGGTGATTAACAAAAACACATGTGTTCACCTGTGGGAGATGAGAGACAATGAGCCTACATTGTTTAACGTCTAAATTGACCTCTTGTTCACACTGATGCAGAGTATTTTGTCTTAAATTAAGCAAATTAAAAGGGAAACAATTGCAGACATTTTCCATAGAGTGATCTCGATATTTTTGGCTTTTTGCATCTTTGAGCTCACCTCCAGCTTCTGATGAAAGCATATTATCGGATGAACAACAAAGAGTTGGTGTTTTATGGCTCCGCTGATAAAAAAAACATATGAAGCAGGTAACTATAGTGATCAGGAGCTGAGTGCAGCCAATCAGAATCAACAAACCACAGCTGTGATGGAGATCCCAGATCCAATATTTAAGATTGGATCAGGAATATGGAGTTGGTCCACCCTTTCATTGATAACAGCTTCAACTCTTCAGGAAATGATTTTCATGAGGTTTAGGAGTTTATTAATGAGATTTTCTTTTATAACTCTTTCCAAAGTGCGTTGGTGAGTTCAGACATTGATGCAGGATTGGAAGGCCTAGCTCACAAGTGCATCCCAGTAATTTTTGTTCTTTTACAACATGAAAAATAATGATCCATATCCTTTGTGCCAACTTCACCTCTGACCCCTTGTGTACATTTCATTATGTCTTTTGGGGTTTTGATGGACAAAAATAATTTAGAGTGATTATGTAAAACAGAAGGTAAAAAGAAAAGGTTATTAAAAAAATGACACAAAGTAGCAGATGCACCAAATCGTCCATTTAATTCATCCCCTGTCCTAAACATGCCTGGTATAAAGGGTGACAGTGGACAGTAGCAGGAAGTGACCTCCAGCAGAAGCAGGCTCAGGATGGGGGTACCATCTGTTTCAACTGACTGGTGGGGGGGGTGAGAGGACAGGACAGAGACACCTGATATGGGAATAAAAGGCTGCTGCAATAACATGCACATGTATTAAGAGTTAGGAAAGTGATCACGAAGCATCTATTGGTCGTGATCTAGACGCAAGCCCCGCCGCGACGCAGAACTGTCGGCTCAGTTGTCAGCTGTGATTTGACTGCAGTGTCTCAGCTGTTGTGGGTCGGGCCTCTAATGGACTAGAGCTATCCCTGACACACACACACACACACACACACACACACACACACACACACACACACACACACACACACACACACACGACACCTTCTTTAAGAGAGCAGTACAACGCTGCTGGTTGGTTGGTTTCATTCTCATTTGCTGGAACCAGATAATGTTTCATGCCTCTGCAAAAAAGTGTGTCTGTGTCTGCTGCTCCACACTCAGACTGAAGCTCTCTGGGACACTACCAAGCCTCCATCTTTTGAAAGAAAAGAGAGGATTACTTCATCTGAACGCAGCTGAAACGAGTCTAATCTTTCCTTTTTGTCCTTCTGTCCCTGTTTCCTCTTTCTGTCTCCAATTCAGCCAATGAAAAGATTGATGATATCAATGGCTGTCCCAAGAGCCGTTCTCAGATGGTAAGTGACTTTCCAAATATTTTTTTATTAATTATACACGTTGTGTCATTCAGCTGTGAGAAGTAACACACCTCTTTGATTTAGTACCCCAGTGGTCCCCACTGGAAGTTGTGGTTCCCATGAGTGATTGTAGACGGGGTTCGTTAGTTCGTTTATATTTACTTTTCTGGTCCAGTGGGCTACCGGCTCTGAAACATCTGGTTCAGACTTCTGGCTGTTGGCATTCAGTTGAAAGCATCGTAGGTTTTGGTTTTGGAGCCACTTTTGCTTCGTATTATTATGACTTGCTAAGAGGAGTTCTCAGCTTTCCCACCACTTCAAGCATCTAAGAGAGACCAGTGCGGGTAAAAATAATAGAAACAACTATGAAATACTCGTTTTTGTTGTTTTTGTATTGCTGCTGGTGGCATTTGTACGTTATTAGTCTTCGGTTCTCTGTAGGAAATAAACCAAGCATCCTGGGGCAGAGCTGCCCTTCGCCGGATGTGATGGGTTTTAAATTGGGCCAGTGTGCCAGCTGTGTGTGTGTGTGTGTGTGTGTGGGGGGGGGGGGGGGGGGGGGGGGGGGCTATTTTGGCCCACCAGCCAGATTATTGAAGCATTTCAAAGCACCTAGAGAGACAGAGGGAGACACACACACACCCCCAAATGTATCATCTGAGAGGGAGGTGAAGGCACAGCTGATCCCTGAACCCTCACCGTGGGGACATTCTTTTCACCGATGTCAAAGCCTTTTTTAAGAGCCTGCTTCTCTTGTTTTGAATGCAGTCTGTTTCTATATTGGTATGCTTTTGATTCACATTCATTTATATATTAAGTAAAATACAGAAAAAAAAACATTATTTGTCAGTCCCTGTAGGATTTTGCAGACCTTTTTTTTTTCCAAAAAGCTGAATATTTTTCTATAATCTGTTTTGGACTTTGTTCTAGAAATAAAATTTTGACTTCTGTCATCTTTAACATGGACACTTCCTCATTTTTTGTCCCCAGCACATTGTAGGAAACTGACTTGCACAGATTAGAACAGGTTTGAGGGGAAACGTGATTGTTTGGTGTTGGACTTAAGTAAAAAAACTGGGTAGGGGGTGAAGGTGACGGGTGAAATTAGCCCAAATGTTGTGGTGACTAGTCAAAACTGCACATCGAAGAAAAGTTGCAGAAAATAGCAGAATTTGTATATATAGTTATGATCACATTTCATATTTCTGGAGAGGCAGATGTGTAATACTGGAAAAGATACCTGTTTTGGGTTTTTTTCATTGAAAGTGAAGAAAATGGGATTAAATGCTGTGAAAAGTTCACAAAATATAATGTAAATTCACCTTTTCTCATCATTATGGTTTTAGTAGACTTATAAATTAGGCTTAAATCAAATAGGAAACAATCACTTAGCAACAAAACCTCACTGATCCTTGTCACTTCATCACACACACATGCACACATTCACCTCACCACACACTAATTAAACAGATTTGTTGTGTCTGAATCTCTGCTGCTGGTTTGTGTTCCAGTTCAGCAACGCAGCCTCGCTGACAGACAGCAGCAGGGATATAATCTGGCCTCAGATCAGCTGTTCGAAGGAATCCAACAGATCAAATTCTTAAATCAATAACAGCTCCTGCCTAACCTTTTGGTGGGTTTCACCAACAATAAAATGCCTTTCTCTCACCAACAGAACCATGTACACAAAAGGAAGCTATGATTTAAAATGTTTCTTATGTTGTGAAAACTTTTACTATTTTATCTTTTAATTGGTTTGTGTAAACAAAGTACACCATGCCTCATGATTAAAAAACTACGTTTTTGAGCTCACACCAATTTTTGTTGCTCCTTTGTAAAGATGTTAATGCAAGATCAAAAGTTATCAATTTGTTATAATAATAATAATAATAATAATCATCATCATCATCATCATCTCTTTGAAGAATTTACAGACTTTTTGGGACAGATAGATCTTGTGTTGTTGTTTTAGTGTAGATGAACTTTTACAAGGAAGTTTTGACAAAGTATTTTATCCATTTCATGAATTATTATTACCTTAATATTAATAACACAAATTTAACATCATTATTGTCTTATATTAATTATATCAATACATTTATTTACAGAAAGTGTGTAGTATATCAACACATTTATTTAAAGTGAGTGTGTAGTTTCCTGGCGATAGGAGGCAGTGTACACCTAAATCATTGCAAGCAAGCAGTAATTTTGTGTTTGAATGAAACCTTAACAGCAATTGGTCATAAAGGCCAAAAACTCCTTGGAGATTTGCAGCCCAATTTGTTTTTGAAATTATTTTTTAAATGAATAAACTGTATTGTTAGACAGAATTACCTCAATTGGATCTCTGTTTCACAGTCTCAGTATTTTCATCAGCCTTAAGGAGAACTGGAATCAGTGGGAGCAGCCGAGCTAAGGGCAGGTGCAACCCCAGTCATTATGCAAATGTCCTCTTTGTGTGTTGTAGTGCTGTCAAAACAAACACACACACACACCGGCTCATGCAGTTTATTTGGCAGCTGTGTCTGAATAGTGAGAGCCCACTTTTTTCTTCACTTAGTTTCATTGCTTTCAAACTCCCAAAGCTTCCAAAGCTGCTGCCAATTACCACCACTTAACTTAACCTCAGCCTCGAAAGGAATAAACATGGAAATCAGCTCCATCGGTGGAGTAAACTGTAGCACCCTCACCCTACTCTCATGCTAGCTGATTAGCATACGGCTAGTAAGTGAGTGGCTGTTTTAACAACTGTTACACACTTGTTAAATGGACCCCCGTCATTTGGTCAGTGCGTTGCCACCCACTCAGGTTCTGACCCGAGTGTGTTTGTGAATTTAGCTCAGAGCAACGATGCTGGCTTCCCACTGAGCTGTAAAAGCCACACAGGATGTTCATGTGCACACACACACACACACACACACACACACACACACACACACACACACACACACACAATCCTACTAAGGCAGCGCTATTATAGCATCTCCAATTAAAGAAGTAATCTGTGAAGTGATGTGAACTTTTTCTGCTCTAAGATGTAAGGAAGACAGAATGAATCACCATGAGAGCCGGTTCAGTAGTTTTAATCCTTAATGTTGATGAAGCTGGCTGCTGTTTTCTGCTGCTCCTTTGGGAGATTGATATCCAGAGCGGTTAAAAACCAGCAGGACCAGGTGGTTCATAGACTTTTCTACCTGTAGGTGCTTGTTCAAAAGTCTTTACCAACAATGGAGCTTTCCTGTATAAATCTTCTTGTCTCGTAGCTTCAGGTGCAGCGGTATTTATAACTGACAGACAGGTCTCACTTGGTAATTCGCCCGCAGTGTTTTCACTCCTTTTTTTTTTTGTAAATGTTATTACATTTTTGTTTTCTTTGCAAAAGAGATTGGAATTGAAGTTCTCTCTTTACACATGGGAAATGATTTATAGTTTCACATAATGATTAATCAGAGGAAGAAAAAGAACTGTCTCTGTTGCAATGCAACAAAATACAAACAATATAAATATTGACTGCAGATTCTGACCTGTGGTCTTAAGAGAAGTCACCTACGACTATGGACAATGTCAGGCTGAAGACAGAATAATGAAGCTCAATAACAAAAGCTTACCCCGTGTGACTTATGGTCTCGTTAATCTTCACGCTGTGGCAGAAGACTGATGAATGTTCAGGCTTTCGATCAGCACTGGTATTTGCTGAAGATGTGCTTGGAGCATTTCTTGTTTTCTTAAAAGTCATCTGCTGAGGTCACAGTTAGTTCATTCATAGCAGAAAAAACTGCGTAAAACAGAAACCCCCTGCAGAACCTGGGAAAGATGTGGCCTTTATGAAAGAATGTATGTTTTTAGGCTTGTTGTGAAATTTAAAACAAGAGATTTTAGAGCAATCAGGTTAATGCTGACCACCGTTATTGTAAAGCACACTTTTGAATGATCAATTTTTATCAAATTAATTTCAATCACAATTTACAACTTATTTCTGGTTTGCTTTGTATTGCTAACCTTAATTTTTCTACTATTAAAAATAACATTGGGTTGTTTTATTAGTGATTTTTATGTTTCCAACAGGAATACATTTCAATGTCAAATATTACCTGAAATAATTCAAAATTCTGTTGTCAGATGATTTGTTATGATAAAAGTTGTTCATACCAACCAACCATGAGACAACACACGCACACACACACACACACACACACACACACACACACACACACACACACACACACACACACACGTTCTTCCCTTTCTAGAAGGTGTGTGTCTTGTTACACCTGGTGAAATCTAACACTCTCAGACATGCTGGGGGCAGTGTGATGTTTTTTGCTGCTTCATGACCATGAACACCTGCTGTAACTGATGAAATTGTGAGTTCTGTGTCCGAAAACTTCATTTTGACTGGTCTTAGGTTATCTACACTCAACAAAAATATAAACACAACACCTTTGTTTCTGCTCCGATTTTTCATGAGATGGACTAAAGGATCGAAAATTCATTCCAGAGACACAGTATTACCATTTCTCTCAAATATTGTTCACAAATCAGTCTAAATGTGTGATAGTGAGCACTTCTGCTTTGCTGAGATAGTCCATCTCACCTCACTGGTGTGTCACATCAAGATGCTGATCCAACATCATGAGTAGTGCACAGGTGTACCTTATACTGCCCACAATAAAAGGCCACCCTGGAATGTGCAGTTTTGTCTCACAGCAAAATGCCACAGATGCCACAAGCATCGAGGGAGCGTGCAATTGGCATGCTGACAGCAGGAATGTCAACCGCATCTGTTGCTCGTGCATTGAATGTTCATTTCTCCACCATAAGCCGTCTCCAAAGGCGTTTCAGAGAATATGGCAGTACATCCAACCAGCCTTACAACCGCAGACGATGTGTAACCACACCAGCCCAGGACCTCCACATCCAGCAGGTTCACCTCCAAGATCGTCTGAGACCAGCCACTCAGACAGCTGCTGAAACAATGAGTTTGCTTAACCAAACAATTT